TCCTGGCGACTGGGTGTCCCTTTCCTGTGTTCTGTGTTCCCCATGACCAATGTGAAGCAATAAACCTGTTCCCTGTGCAAATGTGTGTCCATGTCTCATATTCACTGGTGTGCCAGCCACTGTAGACATTTCTGTCTCTGCCATGGAGAAAGGAAGTAGGATAATCAGAAACAGAAAAACCTGGTGAGGAAGTGCTCCTTCTGGTGAAAGAAGCCAGAAATAATAATTTAAAAAAATTCCCACAGTCTCTCACGCACAAAGCCACCAGTGCATCCTTCTTTACCTCTTTGCCTTGATATTTCAAGATCCAGGGTCCCCAGCACCTGCTGGTAAATTCAGATCACCCAGAAAGCTCCAAATTTCATGCCTGTCTCTATGGACCCTCCAACCAAGTCAAATGACACATTCCTCATGCACTGCTGGAAGCTGTACCTCAGGTCATGGGCAGGTAGGCAGTGAGCTAGCATGGATGCAGAAAGCTAGGCTTCCCATTACATTCATCACATGTGGCTAGCAAATAGGATATGAGTCGCATTCAACTTAGAAATGCTTATCAGGAAAATCCCAGCACAACTCCTCCAAGGACAGAAAAAAGAAACTGTGGTACAGGACACTGCTCTCATCGTATGCCCAGTGAACAATCCAGGATGAAATCTCAGTAAGATAAAACTTGTCATGGTTCCCCTGGGGGACACAGTGTGCCATGGGCCTATGACCTACCAGGTAGGCAAAGCAGACAGAGATTCACAGGTGACCTCCCACACCAAACTCCAGTCACGGAGTGATCTTGTTGTCTTATGGTGGTCACCTGCATGGCCAGGCTGCTGATCATGTGCAGTTGCTCTCTCAGCTCACACTTACCTAAGTGACTGCCCTAACCTGTTATGACACCTGTGGATGAACCTGGTATTCTGGTGCACTGTGTGGTTCTTATCCCTGCTGGGAAGACACAGACATTAACTGAGAGGAAGTGCTCTTCCCCCTCCACCCTAACAGGAAGTAATAACTCAGGAAGTGTCCTTGACCCTACACCCTGACAGGAAGCACCATGTCTATCACTATATTAGGAAGTGTCCCCACACCACTGTCTCCAAACAAGATGTTTCCTGAACCAAATAGGAAGCATCTCTACCCTCGGTAACCCTACGACTAGTATTCTTGCTCTAAAAGGAAGTGTCTTCACCCTCTTCACCACCAGCTCAAGTGGTCATCCAGGGTCCGGCAGAATCTGTTGTCCCAATCAGCTTACACATATGCTGGTGGTTGTAATTGCTGAGTCAGTTCTATCTTCATTCCTGTCTTCCACACAAGCCAATGGCTCTTGCAGTCCAGCCCGATCCTGCCCACTGCACACTCAGATCCCACGCAAACCAGTGGGAGATACAGGCTAATCAGTCAGAGTGATCTGCAGTAATCCCAACAAGGCCCACCTCCTGCCCTGGTTCCTGTGCTTGCCAGTACATAGAACATCCTGTTCCAGTCTGTCCCACATCCCATTCAGTTCTCATACATATCAATGAACTTTGAAGCATAGTTAAACCCAATCAGCCCCACTATCCAGTCCAAAGACATTCCACTGGGTGCCACTCTGTCTGGCCATGCCTGTCCCAATTCTGATTCTAATACTTCCTCATTGGAGCATCAACCCAAGAGGGAAATGCCCACTGTTGCCCTACTGGCCCTACTCACACTTTGAAATGTTGCACTTTCAGGTAGTTATTGAGTTTAACTTGACAGCTTTTGTCTCCCGTGTCAGTATCTCCCTGCTGATGCTGCAGCACAGCTCAACAAGCCCAATCCCACTCTGTTTGTGCATGCTCCAGTAGGAACAGTCAATGCAGCCTGGCTTTCCCCTGATCCTGCTTAAGGAGTCCGACCTCAAATATAGCCCTATCCAGTCTAGCCTGCCCCTGTCACAGTTCTCATGCTCACCAGTGGGAATGGTGTTCTAGCATAGGCACCTCACACAGGCTCCTTACTGGGTTCAACCCTTCCTCCCTTGGCCTCACTTGTGCTGCTCGAGGGCTTCTGACAAGTCTGGCATGGCCCATCTCACCTCAGCATTTGCCAGTGGGTGCTGTGGCCTGCCTGGGTACAGCCCACTCCCAATTTCAGCTCATACTGGTATAAGCTACAGCCTGCCCAGCCTAGTTGTGCCCCAGTCCTAGCCTTCTCATGAACTGGAATGTGTTGCAACCCAATCCTGCTAAACCCACATTCCATTCTGGTGCTCAGATTCATCAGCAGGGGATATTAACTGGCCCGAACTAGTTCTACCACAAAGTTACTGGACTGCTCCATTTTATACTTTTGTGCTCACCTGTAGGGACTGTGTGTCCCCATAGAGGAGTTGCCCAAGCTCCTGCATCGGAACCTCTCATACACCAGTGGGTCCAACTGTCCTGTCCTACTTAGCCCACCTTCTGTCCCACAAAGAACAGTGGCCTTCCCCGACTGGCCTTTAAACCATTGCAGTTTTGACTGTTGGGTGTTACAGCCAAGCCCAACCTGTTACACCCCCTGACACAGCTCACACATGGCTCAATAGGGATAGAGACCTGGCCTAGCCCATCATATACCTACCCTGGTTTTAGGGAGCATCAGCGGTACAGGAGTCTAGCCCAGTCTGGTGCATCCCAGATCAAGTCAACACTTGTGATGAGGAATACTGCACCCATATCCAGATCAGATAGCAATCCCCACTCAGGCCTTTGCACTCACCAATGGGAACCACAAACCAGCCAAAGCATCTGCCTCTCTCCACAACCAGGCCTATTCAAAGCCACAGATTTCATGTGGCCCATCCTGCCCTACTCTGTTTTTGGATGCAAATGTGATTGCTGCAGCATGACTAGACTAGTCCCCATCCCTGTACCTGTGGATGATCACAGGTTCCATCATCACACTTAACTCAGCCCATCCCCACCCCAACTCTTGAGCTGACCAGTGGGACTTGTATTTCCACAGGGTTGGGCCCACTTATCCCCCACATAATCTAACCCCAGACCTGGTTGTCTCACATGCTGATTTGTGTCATGGCCGTGCCTAATGTGACCTGTCCCCTGTTCCGACGTTCAGCAGGTACTGAGATCTAACCTTGCTAGACAACTCTCCAGCCTTAACTTCCATGTGGAGCGTCATTGGTTGGTCAGCAATGTTTCATGCTAGCATGCCCTACTCAGGACTCCCATATTGGCAGGTGTATCAGTCTGACCCATATAGATCTTCCGGTTTCTCCCCTCCAAACCACCTTGTCTCAGATCCTCCACTTACTTGCAAATATAGCAGCCATTTGTTGGGAGTCTTTCAGAATTAATTCCTCACTTACATGTACTGTGGCCTTCTCCATGGATTTTCCTCGGCTGTAATTCAACTCCCCCAAGATCCCAGAGCTCACCACCAGGTGGCCAGTGGGCAAGCCCAGGATTTGCACACCATTTGGCAGTAGTGGCTGGGGCTAGGGCCACAAGCATTGAGTCCAACCTGACTCAGGTACCCCCAGCTGCTGCTGTACAGCTCTGAGTACCTAACTTAGCTACACCCAGCAGCCACCATGCAGCTAAGATCTCCATTCACCCAACCCCCGGGGTAGCACTCACCCTGCTACCTAGATGGTGGCCAATATTGTATTTGTCTTGCACAAATACTCAGTGTTAGGTTCGCAGACCACTAGGGCGATAAAAGTCTTGATTCATTGATGGAAAGAGGCCCTTTATTGGTGAAAGGGAAGTCCATTCTTGGGCCTTCCCCACATGCATTTGCGAGGCAGGGAGAAAGCGGGAGCCGTGGGGATGAAAAGGTGTTCAATGAAACATGCAGGAGTTTTTTATACTTCTCTTGAAGCAGAAGCTGGAGCAGGTTCCACTCTTGTCTTTTTTATGAGAGGATATGCTGGGCCTGTTGCAGTAGTCTACCAGCTAATGTCCTCACTTTGCATGTGCCAGGATCCCATATGGACACCTGTTCTAATCCCTGTGGCCCCACTTCCCATTCAGCTCCTTTCTTGTGTCCTGGGAAAGCAGCTGAAGATGGCCCAATGTCTTGGGACTCTGTACCTGCATGGGAGACCTTGACCAGACTGCTTCAACTAATATATTTGTAAATAAATAAATCAATCAACAGGCAGTAGTGGAAAACATTCTGTCAAGGTGAAGTCTTTCATTTTTTGCTTGCTTTAGAAATGTTTTATTTCATTTTTAAATATAAATAAAAGACTTGCTGGGTATGTTATTCTGGGCTGACAATTTTTCCCTTTTCGGATCTGAAATATGTCACTCTCTTCTCCAACTTTTAGGATTTCCTGTGAGAAGTCACCTCTGAGTTGGATTGGAATTTCTTTATAAGTTATCTGATGTTTCCCACATGCGTATTTTTTTTCCAAGCTTCCAATTGTTTGTTTTTCGTATCTTATTCCTTATATGGTAAAAAAAGTAAAGTTACAAATCACAACCTCAAGCATTAGTCTGTTTATTTTTTTTTGTTACTCATTCAAATAAATTAAGAAAGTAAAATTGTCACCCAAGTATAGATAACACTTATAAGCAGCACACAAAAACTTCAGCTTCACAGAGTAACACTCAACAATCTCCTTAAATGTAGTTTCAACCCTTATTTCAAGCTAAGAGCAGTAATTTGATACAATAAGTGAAACACAAAATTGGTATGTTCTGAACTACACATGGTTTTAGTCAAATACACTTTTCACAATGGACAAGTAGGTACAAATGTTATTAAAACACTACTTCAAATGCTAATCCTGCCATAGCTTTTTAAGCAATCCCATTCCTGCTACTCAATGTTATTATTTTTAGAAGCTTAAGCTGATCTGGGCAAATAAATCCTTCTAAATCTTAACAAACAGCATGTCATAAGCCATGAAAGTTTTTAAATAAAAAAAATCTTTCAATACAAAAGCACTTATATAAAACTTTGTTTTTCAAAAAAAAAAATTTATCTGGACAATGTTAAAAACAAATTATCTTTTAAGACAAAATTCTTACAAAACTACATTTTCCTATATTATCCTAAAACTAACACCTCTTAAACTACTATTGTCTAAAAACTTCAGATTACTTGAAGCACTATTTCGGGTATTACAGTCAAAGATGTCACTTAGGTTTCATATATTAAACAGCAACAATATTGCTTACAACGGCACAATTATAATTTACACATAAATATTACTTCATCTATGTAGTCCAAAGTCAGAAAGAACTGCATGATCTGCAAGGTATTTTAACTTATTAGTATAGTCATTAAAATGCAATAAGTAATTCAAGTATAGATATAAAGACAACAATTAAGGTCTCTAATATTCTAAAATTAAAGGCATAAAATAAATGCTAAAAACTTAATTTCTCTATCTTTCATCTTCATGCATAGATAGCAGGACATTTCTGTAGAAAATTTGTTATTACATATGTTTCCCCAGAAGATATGACATTAGAGAGCACGAAAGGTGTCATGATCCATAGTTTGCTTCATCAAATGCTTTTCTAACTCATTTCAATTTTTCGTTCATAGTAAGTAAGTCCTTAACCCGAGCAAACTTCCTTGGGTCCTTTGGAATCAAAAAGACAATATCTTCAACTTGGACTTGACCTTGTCTTCCAATCAACATTGCCTTGTGAGTCATTTCAGTGATGAACTCTATGACAAAGTCTTCAAGAATATCCAAGGACTCAGTATAAGGATTCTGATCATCCCCAAAACCATACATCATACATTGCAATTCTTTGGAAAAAAGTCTCTTTCTTTTACCCTGTCCACCTTCTGCACCTCCTCCAATTTCTTCATTTTCTTCCTCAAAGGTGGGGTCTTCCTCCTCATCTGCCCTGACTCTAGCGGGCCAGTCCACACCGCCTCTCACTTGTGTATTTACGTACCATTTTAATGTTCAACTGAAGAGATCCTGTCTATAATGTGACAATGGCAAGGATCACTTCTAGTCGACTCTATTCAGGGTTTTCTATTCTTCCCATATGTGGTTTCCTCATTTTTTCTCCATGTTGTAGAAGTTGTAATGTTTTATGTTGTCAAATTATCTTCCAATCCAACTGATGCTTCTGTGCTCAGGAACTCCTATAACTCATTTGCTTGGCCTTTTGATTCATGAAGTTCAGTGATTATTAGATTCTTTCCTTAATTTTACTCAATTCTTTTTTCCATATGTCTGATTGTTTTTATAGAAAAAGTCTTCTAGTTCTGTATGCCTCAATCATTCTATTTCTAATCATTTCCATTGAATTTCTGATTTGCTTTATTTTACTCTCCATTTCTAATATTTCAGTTTTATTTTTGTTTCATTGCTGTTATTTTCTGGAACTTTTTATATACTTCTGGGTATTTTTTTAACTGTGGTTGTTTTTATTGCTGCTGCTTACAGTGACAAGAGATTTTTAGATTTATTTATTATTTGTCACAAAAATAAAATATCAAGAGAAATAGATGAAGGTGTAATTCTTCCTTGTTGAGGATCTGCTTATTATTATTATTATTATTTCATTTTACAAGACAGTTCCATAGGTTCTGGGATTCTCCCAAGCTCTCCTTCTACATTGATAGTTTCCATATCATTACAGTAGTACAGCTTACAGCCAGTTATAATTCCTTCATTGTACAGAGAGTCCAGCATCTTATTGTCTAGATAAACTCAACAGTTTCAGTGGAAGACCATCTTTGACCTTAAGGTAAGGCTGACAGATTATCATCCCCTCCAATGAAAAGCCACAACACAAATTCAACAACAGGAAGAAACATGGAATTTTACAACATTATGAAGTTAATTGACATGGTACTGAACCACCAATGTGTTAGAAAATGCAAGTTCTTAATCAAATCCTTTAACTACTTAATTTACATCTCAATTTTAGTTTATACATAACTGGCTGCTATAAATCTTAAAATGGTTATAGGGTACTACTATTCAGCTATCATGTGTCTTTTTTATCGTCATATTTATATTTAGCAGCTTATAGTATTCATGCATGATTTTTACTGAACTTCGTGAATTTTAGGCTAGTACAAACAGGCATACAATGCTAACAAATCATGTATTAGCTATTAATGAGTGAACAGTGTTAGGAGGGGTGTGCAGAGAAATCTTCAATACCTTAGTGAGGACTAACTGATCTTTGTGTCCTATGTAGTAAGGTATATGGGAGTCCAAGCTGACTTTTTCCTGTCTGTTCTAAGCTTTCCTTATTGCTCTCTGTCTGCCCATCTGATCTAATTTTGGGGACTCCAGAGCAGCCCCGATGGTCATTGCAAGAGAGGTTAGAGAAGCAATGTTGTAGCTAAGTAAGGACCAGAGAAGTTTCCTCTCCCAAGTCCCAAAGGAAGTTTACTGTTCTTCCATTTCTGAGGACTGCTCAGGGCTCCTGGCTGTTGTTCCAATGATATTAGACCCTGTGAGGAGAATTCTGGGCTTCTTCCATCCCATGCTGGAGATCTGGTAAGTAATGGTTGACCTCAGAGTTCTCAGCCTATGATCGCAGTCGAATTCCCTGTGATCTTGGCAGTTGGGATATAGTTCTTGGTGCCCATAATGACAGTCCTTTATGAGGTACAGGGAGTCTCTGGGGTCAGGACAAAAGCCTACTCCTGTCCTCTTGTTCCACTCTGAGATCCTGTCCTGCTCTGTGCATATGGCCTCATGTTAAGAGGCTGTCTTGGATCCCACTGTGTCTTTATAGTTTTGTTAATGTCTAACGCAGATATGAGCCTGTTATCTATAAGTTACCTGTTACAATCTTGATAGATTATACTTAACATCTTCCTCACACACACTAAGAAGGTGGAAGATTTCTCTGCTCTCCCAACCTGTTGCGGAATAACATAGGGTATTAAAAGCATATCAGGTTTTTCAGTTCTTTGATATAGATCATAAGCAGTCTGTTTCTCATTGATTGTTGGTTTATTGGTTACATCACAATATCTTATTGCATGTGATACAGGCTGTTTGAGGATGTAATTTACAGGTACTATTTTTAGGACTGACATTGTTTCATCTTTAATTAGTGTAAACATGTGGTAGGTAACCTTTTGGGATTGGCTTATTTGCGTTAGCATAATGACTTCCAATTGGGCCCATTTTGCCACAAAAAGATGCATATTGCCAGGAGCTTGAGGATTTTTTTCCAACATGTTTGTTTGCAATTTGGATTTATTCCTTTGTAAAATGTGCCCATCTAATGTGCCCATTTCTTGAGTGGTTTGTTTGTGTAGTTTTGGTTGTTTTGGAAATATTTGTATATTCTGGAGATTTGTCCTCTATCTCCTATGTAATGTGCAAAGATCTCCCATTCTGTAGGTTTCTTTTTTTTTATTATTATTTATTGATTATTTCATCCTCTATGTAGAAATTTCTTAGTTTGTTGTAGTCCCATTTGTTTATTTTGGTCTTGATTGCTATTGCTTTTGGTGTGTTTTGTTTGTTTGTTTCTTTTTTAGGAAGCCAGGGCCTACACCTAAATCTTGCAGGGTGTTTCCAACATTTTTCCTCCAAAAGTTTGAAGGTTGCTGGATGTAGGTTTAAGTTTTTTATCCATTTAGGTTTGAGCTTAGTGTATGGTGAAAGATGTGGGTCCAACTTCTTGTATCTGCAGGCTATCAAACAATTATCCCAACAGCATTTATTGAAGAGATCTTAAAATTTCCTGGACTGTTGTCTTTTTTGTAATTTTTTTTTTGTCAAAGATTATTTGGCTGAATCTGTGTGGGTTCCCTTCTGATGCATCTATTCTACTCCATTAACCCTCCTCTCGATTTGTGCCAATAGCAGGCTGTGTTAATAGCCACCGCCCTATACTATGTCTAAAGATTTAGAATGTGATCCCTCTTGTTAGATTCCTATTCTTCAGAATGGGTGTAGCTACTCCTGGTTTTTTGTGTTTCCAGATGAACCTTTGTATCATTGTTTCCAGTTCTATGAAGAATGTTTTGGGTAATTTGATTGGGATTGCATTGAATGTATATATTGCTTTTGATAGTATGGACATTTTAATGATACTGATTTTACTCATCTAGAAACATGGTATGTTTCTCCATTTTTTGAAGTCTTCTTCAATTTCTTTTTAAAGTTTTTTGTAGTTGTCTTCAAAGAGTTCTTCTACATTTTTCATTAGGTGTATTCCTAGACAGTTCGTTTTCTTTTCTGTTATTTTGAATGTCACTATGCTGGTTAGATCTTTTTCATCTTAAGGCTGTTTGCGTACACTATGGCTGTTCATTTTTTTTAAAGATTTATTTTATTTTTATTGGAAAGGTGGATATACAGAGAGGAGAGACAGAGAGGAAGATCTTCTGTCCGATGATTCACTCCGCAAGTGAACGCAATGGCTGATGCTATGCCGATCCAAAGGCAGGAGCCAGGAACTTCTTCTGGGTCTCCCACGTGGGTGCAGGGTCCCAAGGCTTTGGCCCATCCTCGACGGCTTTCCTGGGCCACAGGCAGGGGGCTGGTTGGGAAGCGGGGCCACCAGGATTAGAACTGGCACCCATATGGGATCCCGGGCATGCAAGGCGAGGACCTTAACCACTGCGCCATTGCGCCAGACCCGGCTTTTCATTTTTATTAGTTTATTTGGTACCCTGCCATTCTACCAAACTCTCTTATAAGTTCTAGGAGTCTCTGTATTGAGTCTATTGGTTCTTCTATATATGGGACCATATCATCTGTGAATAGTAATAGCTTGACCTCTTCGTTTCCCATTTGAGTTCCTTTGATTTTTTTTTCTTGTCTTATAGCCTCTGTGAGTACCTCTAGTATTATGTTGAATAGCAGTGGTGATAGTGGACATCCTTGTCTTGTTCCAGAACTCAGTGGGAAGGGTTCCAGTTTTTCTCCATTCAGTTTGATGCTGGCATTGGGTCATTCATACACTGCTTTGATTATGTTGTGAATTGTTCCTTCTGTGACTACCCTGGTTAGTGGTTTTAGCATAAAGTGATGTTGGATTTTGTCGAAGGTTTTTTTCTGCATCTATTGTGACTATTATATGATTTTTGTTCTTCAGTTTTGGATGTGGTGTATTACATTTATGGACCTCCGTATGTTGAACCATCCTTGCATGCCCGGGATGAATCCTACTTGATCCAGATGAATGCTCTGTCTAATGTTTTTTGAATTCTATTGATTAGGATTTTATTGAGAATCTTAGTGTCAATGTTCATCAGGGAGATCGGTCTGTAGTTCCTTTTCTGTTAATTCTCTATCCGGTTTTGTTATTAAAGTGATGTTGGCTTCATAGAATGGGTTTCTATTATTTTGAAGAGCTTGTAGAGGATTAGGCTTAGCTCTGTTTGGAATGTTTTGTAGAATTCTACCATA